CACGTGGAAGAAGGTGCTTTGGTAAGACGAGACCAAAGTGTAACTTTTCCGCTGAATTGCAAAACTCTATGTGTGGTGAAGAACTAACACTGCATGTCTCTCTGAACACACCATCCCCCACTGCCACATATGGTGGTGGCAGCATCATGCTCCTGGAGTGCTTCTCTTTAGCAAGGATAGGGACAATGTTGAGATTTGATAAGAGATACAGTAGATGGAGCCAACTTTAGGGCAGTCTTCGAAGAAAACTTTTTTGGAGTATGCAAAAAACTTCAGACTGGGGAGGAGTTTCATGTGTTAAAATGGTCCAGTCAAAGCCCAGAGCTTAACCCAATTGAGAATCTGTGGAATGAATCTGAAAACATAAACTCTCTCCATCTAATCCAACTGATCTCAACTGTTTTGCAAAGGATTGTCACTAGATATATACCCTAAAATACTTGCAGGTCTAATTGCAGCAAAAGGTTTTACAACAAGATATTAAACAATTGACTCAGGGGGATGAAAACTTTTGCACAATACTGATTTTAGTTTCTGTATTTAAACTTTGAAAATGTGAAAGACCTTTGTGTTGGTCTCTTTAATAAAATTCATTTTTTTAGTAAAATATTTATCTCTACACTATTAATTTTAAGAAAATGTGGAGAAGCTCAGGCATCTGTTTATCTTGTAAATTTAATGCACTTCGCCTCTTCTATACCTGTCTGGCTGGATGTGCTCTCTTTATCCTCTGACATGGGAGTTGGCTCAGAGCTCATCTGCCTGGCTGTGTGTTTCGTAGACTGGGCCGCCTTTTACAGCTGCGTTTTGTATCACTTCTTCTGTACCCTTGAACCCCAGTCGGCCTCGGCAGATGGCCGCTCACACTGAGCCTGGTTCTGCTGGAGGTGTCTTCGTGTGAAAAGAGAGTTTTTCCTCTCCACTGTCGTTTCAAGCATGCTTAGTGTGACAGAATGCATCCAAGTCGATGAGTCAATGCAATAAACTGGTTTTCCTTAGATAGAAAACTTTGAATCAATTTGACTGTACGATCTGGTGAACTGTAAAGTGCCATGAAATGTGTTGTGAATTGGCGCTATATAAATAAACTGATTTGAATTGAATTAAAATTTTATGTTGTGCAAAACAATGACGTTTTCTATAAAAGGAATACTTGTATATTTTTGGTTAAGAGATTGTTTTTTAAAATACATAGATAATTCACTACAGCTTATTGAAGTGTCTCAACACAAAACACAGATATTTAGATTTTTTCACTAGTATTGTTCAAAGCAAATATTGCCTTTATAAAATAATAATTAAAAAAAAACAGTTTAATGCTTATTTAAAAAGCATGTTAAATTTGGTTGCAAGACTCTGGATAGCAACACAGAAATGGAAAGAATGTAATTATCTGTATTACTGTCTATACTAAGTAAAGAGAAAAACACAAAAGCTGTAGAGTAAGATTGTTATTTTTTTAAGATTGAATATATTTGATTTTATATATTTTATATAATTCAATAAGCTTAAAAGCTAACTACTGATAAAGTTGATATTTTTAAATGTTACAAATATCCTGTATGTGGTTTGACACTGGAGTGTCTTTTACCTTTTCCCAAATCCCTTTGGGCCAACAGCACAGACAAGGCCAAGAACAGCACTGTGACCCAGTTCTCCACCAGACTGCTTACCCAGTGGAATACAGAGTGAGAATGGTGGTTATAAAGAAAAGTTAAAAAGCACAGCCCTCATATCCATAGTGTTAACACAGCTCTGAGTAGATAGGTCAAAGGAAAAGGAAGGATGGTCTGGGAATTCACGTTTCTCTCTTGCAGTGATTTGATTCCTAGTTGGGCTCTTGTCCAGAATTATTCATACTGCTTGCTCCTTATATAAGGGACTCATGACACAGTAAAATAAAAAAAAGAGTATAGCTATACAAGGATGGGTCCACCAGTGAGGATAATACCGTCATAAAGTCTGTGGTCATAGCGTTGGATTGATTATAATTTACATTGTCGGGGAAGGGGGAAAACATCACTGCGACTGCAAGATGTCTTTCAGCTTAGTGCAGTTAATTTTTATTTACATACTTCAAAATGATCAATTTAAGCTTATGCTTTTTGGTTTATTGTTGAGTAAAAATAACCTAAGGCAAAAAAATAAGTATACTGTGAATAAAACTATTAAATTATGTTCAAATCTTATTTTTACTCTCTCTGGGTGTATGACAGCTCCTGGCGGTTAAACATAATTTCACCACAGAGAAAACGCATAACTGCCTCAGAGATAAAGAGGTGTGAAAACATTTTACCACTGCAGTCGAAATATTTATTTTTTCTCATAAATAACCCAGAATACAATGAAAATATGATTGATTGCCTGTGATTTCAGCTGGAATGGATGAAGCAAAATTACATATTATTATGCAGTGAAGCATTTGAAGTTGTGTACCAGTTATAGCAAAAGCTATTAACACAATAATACTTAAAGAAAACAAACATTTCAAACTTTCATAACCAGTATTTTTATTTCTTTATTTTTACATTTAAGGTTAATCTTTTAATGATAAGAATAGATTAAAGAATGAAACTGATTTTTCAGACTCATAAGAGGTTCCATGAAAATCAAAAGTAAAGAGGTTAACAAATGAACTGAGCCAGTTGGTTATTTTTCCCAGTATACAAATCAGATGTTAGAGTAAAAAAAAAAAAACAATAAAAAAAAACAACATTAATACAGATTTTAAAAGTTGAATTTAAACTTCAAAGCTCTGAAACAAATAGAATGGCAGTATTACATAAATTAATGAATAAGTGAGGTTGGTATGCTATAGTTTGGTTTTAGTTTTAATTATTGGCCAAAATCCAATTAATACAGTTAAGACAAAATTGATTTAAGTAAGTATCTAAGTAATTATCTCTAAATGCTCAGGAATTTTAACCTGTGACAGAAAGGAATAGTTTTAGTCTATCTAAATATTAACATTTTTAGAATTTGGTTTCCAAGGTGTCATGTTTCTTTGACAGCTAGATGACTTCATGTGCGAACTTGTAAAAATGGTTTAATAGTCAGTCCTTTTTAGTTTATGCATGATTATAGGTGACCATTGAACTTCCATAAAAATAGCTTTGTTTTTTTACCAGAATCAAGAATTTTTGATAATTGAGAATAAACAACACTGAAAGCTACTTTAAATGTGAAAGCCTAGTTTCACCAAAGTTTAATACTGAGGTCACTACTGCTTGTCAGTTGTGATCCCATTACATATTCCAACCAATATGGATGCAGTCTTGGGTTGACACATGTTTAGAGCCTCATCAGCCTGATATGTGACTCTAATTAATTAACCCAATGCAGAGAGATGGAAAAAATGTATTTTGATGAAAGGGCATCTGATCTCTGACCCTTTGTCTGAGATGAAAGGAATCCCAAAAAAAAGTCTTCATGAAAGAAGCAGGCTGATGATCTGAATCATGTATTAAACATTTTAATCAATCAATATGAGCTACTAAGTTTTCTGTTCAGACAAAGCTCACAGCAGAACATGTTATCTTGCTCATTTTTGTATAAAGCTTTGCCTTTCAGCTAAAACAACAAAACACACAGAATGTGGAATCTGTTTTTTACTGATCACATCCCCAACTCCCAGTAATAATCTGAGGTAGGAATATTTTTGAATTATATCATGAACCCTTAGACTGCTGTTCACTTTTTTCTATCACCGTTTGATAATTTTTTCTATTGCATTTTGCAATTAATTTGCTGGCTAAAGCAAACGTTTTCCCTTGTTCTATCTGGTCTCTTAATAATCTATGCATATGTGCAATTTGGAGGGGTGTTCCCTTCTCCCTAACTGAGAGTTTTATCTTATTTGCAGTGCAGTCCAAACAAAGTTCTATATGCAAGAGGCTTAAGCCTGGCCCAGGTAAAGCTCTACCCTAATTTCTCAGATGTCAAAGTAACACAGATGGAAGATAACTACATATTAAATATCAGCTTCTGCTTTTTGATTTAGGCTCCTCCACCTAGTACTGAGAATCCTGAGTACTAGGTGGAGGTACTAAGTTCTATTCTGCAGGCAATGAGCCACCTCATTCTTACAACCGGACTCTTGTCTTGATAACAGCTGCAAAACTCTCTTTCTCACTCACCTGTAAGGGCACCCAATGTTCTGTTTTTTTTGGAATCCTGAATTCTAAAATTTGAAGATGATTTTTTTTTTATTATTTTTCCAGTCAAAGGGGACAACCACAATTAAATAATAAATTAAAGTAATGAATAATATTAACAATGCAAATCAAATCTTGATTTTGACACAGTTTGATAGAGGAACATTGTGCTCGTATCAAGCTGTGTTTTTGTCTGCAAGTACAGGTTCAAATTCAAGACAGCGAAGCAACTGCAAAAGGAATTCATATTTAATTTTACTAATTTTTCAACATGTCCTTTTTCACCTTCCTGCCTACTTTGCCTCAACATTCGTTATAAGGAACAACTGAATGAGGATCACCAGAATTTCTGTTTGAAGACCCACATCTAGCTATCTACCTTATGACTCCCTCAAAGTGTCTGTACTTCTTTCCATGCTGTGCATTAAAAACCCCTACATGTAGAGCCATGTTTTACTAATAATCTAACAGTTACGTTGACTACATTGGATAATGTGGTTTGCATGATACATACAATAATCACTTCACAAAACGGATTAAATACCTGAATTATTTAAACAATGCATACTTTGTCTTAGTTGTGCATTAAATAGCAGTTCAAAGCAGACTCAGTGGAAAGAAAACATAACTGGCGTTGCTTACAATTACCTAAGAACACTTGTATTTTAAAATTATATTTTGCGTGATATTTCTCCAAGTACACATTACCCGAACAAGTGACATTTAATTATTAGTGTTTGTTTACTACATTACCACTAACTACTAAGTTATGACTTTGCTGTGTGTTGTCAGATCCTATAAACGTCACCAATTTTAATTTTAGAAACTCATGTCATAAACCTATGAAGCAAACTGGGGGTGGGGCTGGGGAGTTGATGTCAGCTTTACTTTTTGTCTGCCCTGAACTGGCTCAGCTGTTGTGATTTATTCAATATGTCTCCCACTTTGATTCTCAGCTAGTATGTACAAAGGATTGATGCTGTAGTTTGGAAACAATTTAGGATGTAGAACATTTATGAACTCTTTATTTAAAGATGGTTTTAAAAGGTTTTGTGACTACAGTAAGTCTCGTTATACAATTGGTTGATCTTAACATGTTTCTCACAGTTTCCATATTTTTATGTCATCTGTTTTCTTTTCGGCTGATAAAAAATAAACAGCAATTAGTGCTGAAAAATACATCATTTTGACATGATAAAGGTCATGTTCTCTCCATATAATAAACTGGGAAAAAAATTTGAAAAGAGCAACTTTCTCGATAAGAACATTTAACCTCCACAGATTTGTCATTTTAATTAAAATTGTAACAAGGTTGTCGAATAATGTTTTATGGGGATGAGGTGCACCAATGCAAAAAAAAAGGAAAACAAAAAAAGAAAAAAGGATTATGTGTTTGTGTTATCTCATGCAACATTCACTGCACACAGTAATTGTTATTTCATGATTTTGTGCCTCCAGAACAGTCACTATTCCCTATTCGACTTCTAATGGCTATATCTCCTAGTAGAGCTCTGAAACATCCCACCAAGAACATTTTGGATTAAAGCAGTACTGCAGCTGAGGCAGTTCTGACAAGGCGATAGCACGTCGATCACACACTCAGGGCTGCACTCACACTGCCAGACATGGTTGCCAGCCAAATGGTGCTATTTGCTAGAGCAAGACTGGCACCTCTCCAATCCATGGGGGTAGCAGGCTTGGCAACGAAGATCGCTGATGGACTCATTGAAGCGGTTTGCTAGCATGGACAGCTTGCTGCCATGACAGAGGGAGCACGGAGCGCAGCCTGAACCGCCACAATGCTGGCAGCTGTCGGCCTCCTGGAGACAGAGCAAACACATTAAGTCGAGAAAACAGGAGATGGAAGAAATCAACTGTGAGGTGAGGCAAAGGGTGAAAAAGGAGAAGAAGAGGTTGAATGGATGGAATACAGTAATACAAAAACATTCTTGAAAGTTCAAAGACAGGGCAAAGTCTTTACCTGCATATAATCTTTTCATGTGGTCTTATCACAGAACCTGGTGCTATGGTCCTGCTTGATTACTTATTTGAATTCGGTTCATTGTTTGGCACATGTCTCTCTACTCCATGAAATGATGCAGTTTTATAGTTTAAATTGTTACAGCTGTTTTAAAATAGAAAATCCCGAACCCAAGGCCAGTTCATAATTACTACCTTTTTAACCAGCAGTGACCTCCCTTCAGGGAATCCAAAACAAACTTAATGACTTATTAGGATGATATTTAAACCACAATTTTAAACAGTGTCTGTATTAAATAGGTGTGTGCCAAGATAATTACGACTGTAACCTCATGAATCTGCACCTATATTGTTACTAAATATCATATACTCACTATCAACATAATTGTATTATTCACAATAACTACAATTTCTAATCAATCAATCTGAACAAAATAACTAAAGGACAATATGAACATTCTTTCAGATACAGAAGACATGTGACAATAACAGGAGATGAGAAAAGGAGCAGTGATCTACCCAGAGTAGGAGGGAGTAATAGGAAGTTAGGTCTCCTTGCTGGTTTGTAAGTGGCAAGCAGATGCGGCAAGGGCAGAGGAAAACTGTGGACTCATCAGTATCTTTTCACACTAGATAGATAGCACTGAGACAATTGGTTAGCGGTTATTGCAGCAGGAGGGCCCTTAAAAAAAAGAAGTGAAAATACTTGAGGACAGCTAAAATAGTTGTTGTAGGATAATCTGACTTGGAAAGATGTGATAAACCTTGCAGAAATGTTGTAGGACAGAAAAACAGTAAACGACTAGCTTTTTAAAACTTAGAATGAAGTTACAATTGAAAAGAAGGTGAAGATGGACAAGTGAAAAGAAAAATAGCAAGATACAGAAATGAGGTGATAAAAAATAACCCAACCACACCATTGAGAATATTTTGGCCATGCATTATTACCTTGGTATCTGTGTTGCTAATCCCCTTCTCCTCCTTTTCCCCGCTCTCCTCTTCCTGAACAGTTTTTTTCCTCCTCCGGCTTCCCCTGTCCATGGCCTTTGGACATCCCTCCAAGTCCAGCGGAGGGACAGAGTGCTGCCGTATCATGTCAGGCTTCTTCGGTGGTGCTCGTATTATGCGTAGATTGCTGGTGTAGATGATAATTTTGCCAAAGTCCAAAACTGAGGACTGAAGAAATGTCAATTTTTTTTTTTTTTTTTTTACCATGAATGAATTTAAACTATATAGACAAATAACTCTATTATGACATTTTAAAGGGAAAAGAATAGGCTAGACCTTTCTTTCCTTTCCCTTAAGAATGACCAAAAAAACGTTCTACTTGCAAAACGGCTTCCTTAAAATTCTTCAGTTTATATACATCTATGTATACCTGGAAGGAAGGGGTTGAATAAGCTAATAAGTGATGACGGTGCTGCTCTCCCAGGATGGACTCTGGATATAGTGCAAGTAGTAGGAGACGGACTGTATCAAAAATAACATCCCTGTTGGATAATGTCTCCCACCCCATGCATGAATGGTTATAGCACTGGAGAACCTTTGGTGAGACAGGTGCACTATTGTGGATTCATTCTCCTAGCCTCTGTTAGAACTTATAAAGTTTAATGCTCCCAACAGGCATAATAAGTATTGCCAATCATGTTATTGGTTGCCCATATCTTTCCCCTACCTTTTGTTGTACTTAACTTATTGTGTTGCAGGAGATTTTAGAGTCAGAAAAAACAACCAGAGAGTAACACCTTTGTTGAAAACATAACATGCTTTTCAGCCGAAGCTCTACTACTGAGGCTTTGGTAAATTGAAAAACAGCTAATCCTCTATTCCAAAGCCTTACTACAGTATAATTAGATTTTTAGAGGAAACTTTTGATCTTTAATATTGAGAACATGCTGGATCCTAATATATTTAAAACAATGTATTTATCCAGTATTCTAAGCACATTATATGGTTTCACTGGGAATAAACAATCAGGGATAAGAAGGAAATGAGTGTGCCGAATACAAGTTTTATGAGCACTTGTCAACAAAATCTCACTAAATAAATATCATTTAAATTTTCCACTTCATCTTGAAAAAGACAAAAGGAAATATAGCATGGAATGCCTATTGCCAGTCATCGCATTGTAAATATGTAATGCTCTAAACTGATTAGCTAATGAGTTAGTTCAGCTTTTCACATTTAGATCACAACCAATTTAACAATAGTACCTAGAGCTTAAAGTAGCATCTGGCATGCCACATTTAAATAATGGCATATGCTACTTGAGATGTAGCATATTACAAATGAAAAGTGGTATATCCCAGTTGATAATATGTATATTCCTTTTGAAAATATGCATATTCCAATAAATAATGCCATATGCCATTTTGTAATGGCATATGCCAGTTTTTACCAAAGGTCCTACATGTGCGCTAAATGTCATAATGTGGTTTTATTGATAATTCATTTTTGCAGTTATGCTAAATAAATATTAATATATATGTGTTTGCAAATGTGTGTTTGTGTTTGAGAAAACAGTAAATCTTCATACAAACTCTACCATTCTATAATTTTATCAGTATGCAGGGGATCGTAAGTGATCTGCTAAGCGTTTAGCTTTTCCATAATAAAAAGCTGGGAACACAGCCACTTTTGATTTTTAATTTTTTTTTTTTATCTTTTGAAAGGATTTTGGGCACATGACTAAATAAAGTAGCTATGTTCTGTCTAACAAAAATGGCTTTTTAATGTGAAAATTTTATTTTTTGCCACTTCTCAACTGACATATGCCCCTTCTAAACTGGCATAAGCCATTTTTCAACTTGTATACAACACTATTCAAACAGCATATGCCACTTCTCAACTTGCATAAGCTCAATATCCTATTCCTGGGAAATTTATATCTAATACTATATTCTGACAAAGACAAAGTTTGTTTCTTATATACATTAAATGCATTTAAACAGTGAAATTTAAAGATAACTGTAAGCCTAAATCTGCCAGGACAACGATTGGGTTTAATTTTACAATAAAATGGATTAGAAGTAGTATATTTTTGTTTCAGAGCATATCAAACAAGGTATAGATCTAAGTTTAATCAAGAATCTGTGGCACCTGTGGTATTTATCTTCAGGTAACACAGAATACATGTCAGATTAAATAATACTACCGGTACTTATACTTCAGCGATAGTATCTAGGTCTTACTTTCTTGTATCTCTTATACTATATCCATTGGTTGTGCTGTTCTTTTTACATCTCTTTGCAGGTGATGAAGCAGACTGAAAATGTTTTATCATTGTCTCCCTTTTATCTCCTCTGTCTTTAATCTTTTCTCCTTTTTTTCTGTTTTTCCTTTCTTGTCCATATAATCTGTAAAACTCCCTGCATAATTATAATAAAGCAAGTTATATGCATAAATCAAGCGGAACACTAAGGCGATAGCCGTACTGCTCCACTTGTGAAAGTAAAATCTGTTGGGCTCTTTTTGGCATCAAGACAATTATTCTTATTGCCACATTGCCAACTGTGGCACAACTTGACATCTTGACTGTTTTGCAAAGAAAGCTTGGGCAAAGGTTTGCCTAGTTTATACACAAAGCTAACAAAGACATCTAACTAAACTGAATTTGGAATTGTGGGGAACGTGTGCACCACTTGGTGTTTGTATATCTCACAAAACCTTTTTTAAAGCTCCAGGTTCAAATTCAGTTTTATCTACATGAAATTACCTGTATTAATTTTGCTTATTTGTTCCTTTTCTACAGCAACAGAATCTGAGTTTATTTGACAATAATTAGAGAGCTTAAAACTACTTAAAGAACGTTTATGTTTAAGCTAATAACAAATCTGTCCTGATGAATTAGTACAAGGATTAATTAATCAAGAAGTTCCTCACATTTTAGACTTTCAGGCAGATAAACTCAACAATGTAAGCAAGACATTTATCTTCCATTGTCTCATCACAAATAAGCTTTATTACCTTGCTGTCACCCTCTGTTTCTTCTGTCTGACCACCTGCAGGCTTGTAGTTTCTCAGCCCTCGGTATACATTTATTCTTTGGGCAATGAGTCCCGTTGTGGGATAGAAACCTGGGTAACAAAAAACACATAAAACAAAAATGAAATATGTTTCAGCACGGATAAAGACATTGCGCTACATGTTTCAGAGTAAGTCAAATACTGTATCTGTAACACAAATTTTAAGTTCCTAGTCATTAAACTGATTAAATCAAAAATCAGGTCTTGACTAATGCAGTATTTAAATGCTAGCATGAAAATAAAGAACTAGAAAGGAATTCTTCAATCTCAGCTCATACTACTACTCACTACTTCATCCCCTTTGTTAAAATTGAGTGTAGTTGGATTTTTCTTAACATAATTTTGTGTCAATAAATAAAATAAAAAAAACAACTACTTAGACTGTGTCATTTAAACATGAAGAGGAGACAAAATTTCTCTCATTTCAACTTCTCTTTACTGACCCATTAAAATCCATGTTTTAGGGATGCACCGTGCCACCCACTAAATGTACTCTATTTTATCTTAAAATAATATTACGAGTAAATAGCTGAACTGCATATCTGTTGCTCTCTCCTAGATGCTTTCACTAGCAGAGGTGTTGTTGCTATTGACTACTGTAAGTTTACTTTTTCTTAGATTGATATATCAAAATATTTGTTAATCATAGCATATAACCTCTTAAGTTAAGCAAAGCTTAGCTAAAGGTATCTTTCTGTTGTTTCTGTTGTTCATGTACTTTCCCACATGCATCTACCATATGGTGGTAAATTAGTAACCTGATCCAATCAACTTTTGCCATTTGTTGGTTCATTTCCAGGCTAAATGGAACTGGCCTGAGTTCTGTAGATGTACACATATTTATCAATGGTATAACAACTTGAGTTTGAATGAGGTCCATTTTCAATACATGTAGTTAAATTTAATAACTTCTTTATCGTTGGATTTTTTTGGATTATACGTTTATGTGTGGGCTGCTCAGTGGCATACTGGGTAGCACAATCTTTGTAATATCTCCTTCTCTGGAAGTCTATTTTCTTATGAATCATTTGTGTTTGAAGATGGAATCACTGGAACCATTCTCTTCTGATGTGGTTTATTTGTACATTTATTTTTGCCTTAAAGGATATGCTACTTCTGTCTCTTGATCATTAAAGCTATGAGCAATTCCAGGTTCTCCACTAAAAACTTTGACATGTCCTCTGGGAAATTTGTTTGATGCTGCATTTTGTGTCACAAAAATTCTATTTAATAGATAAAGATCTCTATACAGAAGCCAAATTGACCCTGAGGTGATCATGGTATGCAACAATACTCTTGTTCGCTACTACATTTAAACAATGTTTAATTGATACTAAGTGGCCTAAAGTGCACCATGAAAACAAAAACAACCCTCCACTCCATTACCCCTCCACCACCAGCCTGAATGGTTGACACCAAGCAGGATGGATAATGATGGATTTCAAGCTGAAATCAAGACTCATCTGACTGTGTTAAGTTTTTACATGCTGCAGACAAATAAAATTACATGCGTATGTGTGTGTGTATATGTGTGTGTGCATTAAATGGCACACACACACACACGTACTGCCACTGCCACTGTGGGTCCCTGAGCAAGACCCTTAACCCCAGACTGCTCTCCAGGGGCCAACAATGGCAGCCCACTGCTCCCCAAGGGAATGCGTTAAACACAGAGGTTAATTCCCCATTGTGGGACAATAAAGGATTTCATCTATATATATATATATATATATATATATATATATATATATATATATATATATATATATATATATATATATATATAAAGATAGATAGATATATATTACATAAATGTATGTTGCACTCATATAAACCTACCTTGTTCCTTTCTATGAGACTCCTCAAAGCTGCCAAACTGTTCCATCTCAAGGTGGCTAGGTGGGATTTTACGGTGGATGAAGCTGTGAGGGTATTTTTCCTCTGGACTCTCCAGCTCCTGACCATCCTCATACACGTGCTTCAGCACCCGACCACTGTAGGATGATGCCAGCTTAAACCTAACCTGCAGTTTAGGCAATAAGAGATGTAATGCTCCAATGCTCAGCAGCTTTTTCATTATAAAATCATGCAGCAAGAGGAGGGCTTAAAATAGAATAGAAGATATGCAAGTAAAAAAAAAGAAAAAAAGAAAGCTGTTTGGTCTTTAAAGGCAGAGTGGGAGTCTGGGCATGGACACAAAACTAAGCTCTTTTTTTCTCTCTGTTTCAATGAGCATTTGAAAAAAAAATCAAACACAAACAATTTAATTTCATGTTATAATGTCTAGTAATTCCCACAGATATTTTTTTTATCTATTTAACAATTACTGTTAGAAAGAAAAACAACATTCAGTTAAGCCGTTCTAAACTCTGACGGATTCAGCACGTCAAACCTTTAAAGCTAAATGAAGGTTGCTCCATAAATAACTCGCCTTCCTGGGCTTGGTGGATTCATAGTGCTGGTTCAGTTTTCTTTGGAATTCCTCCATAGTTGATGACTGAGCATAAGATGCAGAGAAAGCGTCAGTCCATCTTCGATACCCTTCTCAGGTGGAATAGCATTAGCTTGACACCGCGTTGCCTTAGGCTGAGGTGATCATGTGGATTGATGGATTAAAATATTGGATTGATTTCCAGCTCTGTGCTAAAGAATCCTGCTGAAAAGCTTTGTGTAAGGAGTGGGTGGATGTTAAAGTTAGGATGGAAAAGGCTCAGTGTCCTGCCTGCAGAATCTGAGTGTACCTGCTGTTTTAAGGGACCCATCTTTTTAGCTTCTGGTGCTAAATTATTCACGGCTAGATTGTGTGTACAAAGGGGGAGTTGAGAAACTAGAAGCTCCATCATCAAATAATTATGATCACTAAAATAGAAAGTATATAGTATCTGACTGCAGTTCTGTGTAGCTACGAGTGTAGGAAAAAGACATGATGAGAAAGTCGGAATTGTACATATGTGTGTGGGAGTTAAATACAACACTGTCACTGGATCAGAGCCAATAGTATCAGTATTGGAAAAATAAATGTGACATTTAAGCTGTTTTTACAGGAAACATTTAAATTAGGTTAAACATTTCTGTCTTTAATGTATCAGATGCCTCCATTTAGAATTTTCAGTTCAAATAAATATTTTTGTTTAGGTTTCTCATGTACATCGAATAAATATGTTGAGTTTTTTTTATTTCTAATTTTAATCTGAACTAATTGTCTATAAAAAGGTTTTCCATTAAACAGGGAAGACACAGATCGTGATGCAAGGAAATAAGGAGCTAAGTTAAGGCCTAATAAACCTTTTTTTTATCTGAAAAAACTCAAAAGGTACAGCTCATAGGTGTTTTCACAAACCTGTTTTGTGTTGAAATCCTGATGTATAACTAAAGGAAAATCTTTTCACTTGCAATAATTAGTTGTTAATTGCATTAATTGGTTTTCTTCCAGTGTCCTCTTAGTCAATTGCAGTCTATAATGTTAAAGGAAATCTCTGTGTCCACACCTTGAAGCTTTCTCTCTCTGGTTCATTCCTGAAAAGAGATCAATCGGGACAAATTCTTTAAATAACACTTCATAACTTATATGTATTAAATAACCATGAGACATGACAACAGATTTTGATAGAAATTATAAAATTACTAAGATTAGAGAAGTTGCATAGGGTTACAGAAGGCAGCTGCTTACCAACCGGGCTCACTTCTCGGGAAGTAGCCACGATTAACAGTTAAAGAAGGATTTTATAAAACTCTAGTCTGCCACATCATTACGTCATACCCGTTTCCAGATGAGGAGAAACCCATGGCTCTAGCCTTATCAAAATAAGCTGAAGGACATCGCTCTCTCTCTCTGCCACGTAGAGAATGAAGATTATAACTGTATATAGCCGGACTGAGGAATTGGCCTAAAGCCGGGCGTACACTGTGCGATTTTTTTCAATCATTGCACACAGCTACAGCTCACACTCTACAACTAAACCACAGGTTTAGTCATGCTGTGATGCGATCTACCTGCTCACACTGTACTGCAGACTCAGCTCCGCAGTGAGATGGAGATGCTCTGATTCGTCTATCCTGAAGCCAAACAAATAGACGGGGAATATGAAGCTCACTAGGGTCAAACACACTACCTTGGCAATTTGTGTTTTGTTTGCTGAAAGCCCTAAAAAAGAAAACATATTTGGACAAAGACATGGCTTAGCAAAGGTGGCTACTACGGTCTGTTAATTTTACAGACAGAGCTCCATGTTTGATTTTCTCCTGTCCTCACGATTCCTGATCGGGAGGTGGTCGTGAGAGGCCGATCGCCCCTCGAAACCCCCTGTACACTACACGACTCACGACGGGATCAGGCTGAAAGTCGGCCCGATCGAAAGATTCTTGCACGACTGGAAAATCGCCCGGAAAATCGCACAGTGTATGCCCGGCTAAATTAGATAAACTACTGGGGAAAACATCACGCAACAGGCCTGTAATATTAGGGTGTAATGAACTCACACATCATCGATGATAATTATCCTAACAATAAGTGTTTCTTTTTAGCTTATTTTTTTAGCTCTTTGCTTCCGGTTGTATTTTTTAACCTTGTTAGGTCTTAGCTCTTTATAATAGGAATTTTGGTATTTCCATAACTATTTTTTTTGTGCTTTTTAGTTTATTCTTGAAGCTTTTTTGTCCCAATTTTTTATTGTTTTAGGTCTTTCATGTCCTCTTTCATTTGTTGGGATCCTCTTGGTATTCCTGCTCTAGGTAAGTTATAATCAGCCAGATCTTCTCCACCGGTTTATGCCAGCAAATTAATCATGATAATTAGCTTTTCCGCACCTACCAACCTCGGCTTGGTCATGCAATCTACCACTGACACATGAAAACACCTACTGGCCAATTCCATAATCACAGTCAGCAATATAATTCTTGATGTCTGGTGATCTGGTGAACTGTAAAGTGCCTTGAGATGACATTTGTTGTGAATTGGCGCTATATAAATAAACTGAATTGAACTTATTTTCCCATTTATCCCCCCCCCTAAGCCCCCCATCCCCCCCCCCCCCCCACCACCACCACCACCACCACCACCACCCCTTCTAATTTACATAGGATTATCGCATGAAATGAAATAAAACTGTTTTAACATATTCAGCGTGTATTTTAATATTTTAACTACTTGTTTTGTCTTTGAAAACACCTGTTTCCGGGCCGTCTTTCTATTGGGAAAGCTTTTCAGCTAACTCTTTTGCTTTACAGTACTGTAATACAGTCCCAACCCCACCCTCCATTATATAATCCAGATCCATTATCTCACCTCATCTTTCCCTCTGCTCATGATCCCATCACCCTCATCCTTTTCCCCTTCTCCTGTTCTTGTTCTTCATCTATATCAAAATTCTATGTAGGAAGTTCCAGCTAGAGGGTCCTAAGTGGAAAAATAGTTTTCTAAAGAAACCACATCTACACTGATACTCCTCATCCAGAGGCTTTATTAACAAGTCCTCTATGATGACCTTTCCTTACACCTGTTAAACCAGTTCTGTTGTAAACGTGCACTAAAAAGAAAACAATAAAAACAATAGAAACGCTTTATTTAATTAAATTCTTATTTTTCCTCATACTATCAGTTGAATAAAGGAGCTATTGTAATGGTTTATTCTGCATTTTAAGAGGCTGTTTAAATAGAACAAAATTGGATAATGGAATTTACCACATACGTGTAGATATTAATTTCCAAATTACTTTTTTCTGATGATTTTAGTTAAGTCCATGAGAAAAGGAAGCTTGACAGAAAAAAGGAAAGAGAGAGGAGGAGTAAAAAAAGCAGGCAAAAACCATACTCTGTCTCACTTCTGACCAAGAGTCATCTTAATCAGATTGCAGAACAAGCATGTAGGGGTACTCAGGCAAGAAATTGTTTTGGATGCATCAAAGAGAAGGAGCTATTTAATGTGCTGGATTTGTGCCGCTTTCAGTTTAATAATTGCCACTAAATCTGGCTCTCAGTATCTTCACATTAACAGTTCATGTATATTCTATTATCTCCATTATCCCTCCTCCCCCCTCAACAGAATCTGCAGAATAATTTTCAACACTGATTAACAGTACATTTTCCATGCTAGGTATTATCAAGTTATTACCTTTTTTCCTGTGGTGGTCCGATAATGAAGATTGAAAAATAGCTTCAAGTACTGAAAGAGTTGGACAGAAGGCAAAAGTCTGGTGTTTCACTGTGGAAATCTGAATTTAATTATCTTAAATCAAAGATTTGACTCAAAACTCCAAAAATGTTGCATTTTGAATGCTTTCCTTAAAATAAATTGTAACTTTTGAAATCAATGGCATTTTCTAATATCATGTTAGGGAAAATGTTTTTTTAAGTCAATTTTGAGTGAAAGATAATGGAAATTCCCTTTAGATTGGCATAGAGCTTCATCATGACAAAACTGCACACAAGGCTCTTGAAATAGCACAGGTAAAGGACTTAATGCAAAATATAATCAATAGTGTGGTTAAAGAAAATAAAACACAGCAACAACAAAGACTGTGGAACTGTTGCTACTGAGTGTGGCCAGTGAAAGGTGATTCTCATACAGCCTGAAGTGAAGTCAATTTTGCCAGTTATTTTAAGTTTGATTGGAGGGAGCATGATGTGAAGCAACATTGTAAAAAATCAGTTTTTAATCTCAAAAGTTGTAAACCACCCAGCATTTTCAGACAAACGCCAGCTCTCTATTCCCTCACAGGTGTTAAACATATTCAGCAATTTATTAACTTTCTGCTTGATACAACTTTTAAAACAGAATCTTTCTGGGAATTTATCCATTAAGCTGCAAAACCCAAAGGGCAACAGGCTACTACTCTAACTCCAGCCTTGGATTTCATTGTTAATATGATCAGTCCATATTTCAGACTCTGTACATTTATAATACTTTGTTTTATTTATCTAGTGATTACCTTTGCCAGCAAACATATTTACCTGACTCTACCCTTCACTCACTAACACATCTATTTCAGCCCCATTTAAATTGTCTGGGTTTTTTTTGCTCTCTCCCCCATTGTTGTCTTGGTAACCATGAAATAACATCAATCATCAGCTGGCTTATTATATACACAATGGCATTCATGTAGTGCTGTGCCTGAACCACATTTGGTCTAATGTGGGCGTTTTGAGGCCCAAAGATAAAGTGCATCTTTCTGCACACACTTGTGTGCACAAGTGGGATTCATCAATGAATTTGGTTTTTTTGGGGGGGTTTTTTGTGGGTTCACATGACTTGACAAGGCTGAAATGTCCCTTGTTTACAATTACTTTTGATTTTTGGGCTTATGCATAATTTTAGTATGAATCTCATGCAATCTTTGGGACAAATGAAACCTTAGATCACAACATTGAATGGTGAAAAAAAAAAAGACAGGTGAAGAAAGAATCACATTAGACCATCTATGCAGAAAATGGATTTTGTGGAGAACACCAGAAGTAATAAAAAGGCAACTGCATGGATGCCGGAATCAGAGTTAAAGAGCAAATTGTAAGAAATATGGAAAAAGGAAATAAGATATAGACATAATAGATCATTCATTATTACATAAAGTAAGAAAAAAATGTTTTACTGTGGGTTGAAAATAAGCTGTCATGGACTGTGGGTGAGAGGAAAGGGGGAAAGTTGTATTCAATAATGAACCCTGAATCTATTTTGGCCAAGATGGTGATATGGAAATGTGTGTTTCATTCCATCCTAATGAAACCAAGTGGACTGGCTAAAATAAAACTAGAAAATTTCC